TGGTCGTAGAACCATCATTGATTATGAAATGTCGGATTTAACTTCTCTTTATTCCACTGACCAAATGACCTCTTAAGAAATCTCCATTACTGGCTTTCAAGTTCAACCGAGTTGGTATCATTTCTCAGTAAGTGTCCCATTAATTTTTCCCATGGCATTTCCCTCTACCTTCTAAGCCCTCTAAATTCTCTCTATTACTCTCTCTTTACAGTTCACCTTCTTCAGGAAGACTTCTCTGTTTACTCTTTTTTCTTTTTTTAAGATTTTGTTTTTAGAGAGCGGGGAAGGGAGAAAGAAAGAGGGGGAGAGAAACACTGAGAAGTTGCCTCTCACATGCCCCCCAACTGGGAACCTGGCTTGCCACCCAGGCATGTGCCCTGACCGGGAATTGAAACTGTGGCCTTTCATTTTGCAGGATGATGCCCAACCCACTGACTGGCACTGGTCTGGGCTGATTACTCTTTTTCCCAACAATGTTTATCTTGCTTTGATTTGCATAATACTTACATTCAATTTGCTTCTTTCTATCAGTAGATAAGATTTGCTGATTTGCCTGGATGTTTCCTATATCCCCAAAAGACAGGATCAGTTGTTTCTACTTGTTTTGTAATTCTGTGCTCCAAAGACCAGCACATACAGGGTAGGGCAAAAGTAGATTTCTAGCCGTTTGTATGGAAAACAATACAATTGATAAATTATAACACAAGAATAACCTCTGTGTTTTCTGTACTCACAGCTGTAAACCAACATTTACCCACCTTGTATTTATTAAAGGATCAAACCATGATAATTAACTGTTACAAAAAGGAGACTTCATTCTTGGTAGAAATTAAAATAAATTACATCTTGCTGGGTCATTCTTATTTCTCAAAGCCTAATGAGTCACATACCCTTGACTTTGGTTGTCCACCAAAACACTAGTTCAGTAGTTGATACTCTATTAAAATGTTAGTCCACTGGTTCTGAACCCTGGCTGCTCACTCAGATCAACAGAGAAGCTTTAAAACTACCAATACTCAGGCCCTACCACAGACCAGCTAAATCAGAATCTTTGCAGGTATGCCCAAGAAATAATTTTCACATAGCAGAATGATATTTAATTTACACATATTCATTTGTACAATCTCACTCTTAATTGATTTTTCTAAAGAATGAGAATGTTCAAATACGGTTTTGTTGTTCTTGGAATCGCAAAATTTTAGAACTGAGCAAGAACTAAAGTATCTGACTCAATTCTTCATTTTAGAGCTGAGGACACTATGGTTTAAGGACTGAGAAAGTAGTCTCACACAGCGGTGTGGTGGTTGTTGAGTGACAGATCATATCTTGAATTAGTGGAATTCTCTGAATTCCAATTCTGGAGCTGTAGAGATTGTATTAGTTTTTAAATTTCTCCTTTCTCCTATAAAAAAGGTGTACAAATAATTGCACATTTCTTGATTTGAGGGAGAGAGAGAAACATCAATGTGAGAAAGAAACATCAGTCAGTTGCTTATCATATGCACCCAATGGGATCAAACCCACAACCTAGGTATGCGCCCTGATCGAGGATAGAACCCGCAACCTTTTTGGTGTACATTACAGGATGGTGCTCCAACCAACCGAGCCACTCAGCCAGGGTGGAAGACTTGGTTTTTAAATGCTGTTGGCACCAGATACTCCTTAAAGACCTTCAACTTGGCACCTTCCAACTAACGCATTGTCGTGGCAGAGGCACTGCCACAGCAGGATATATCGCAGTCCAAAATAAATGACTAGTATCTATTTGGAGGCCTTTTTCATTGGCCCTGACCTATAGCTCCATAACATTTTATGCTATCAGAACCCAGAGCACTTCTAGCCCTTAACTACACCACTTATTAGCCAACTTATTATGAACAAGCTAATTAACACCCTGGACTTCCCTTTTCTCTATTAAAAAAGAAGATAGTGCCTGTCCTTTTGACCTTGCACTTTTTCAGCTATTATAAGGATTAAGTCAGATGACATATATGGAGATATTTTGAAACCAGTAAAATACCACTGATATATATGTATAGAATTATTATGTTACTATCTTTCAGAACAATGACTTGTGACTAAGTATTTGTTGCTCTGATTACCGGGTCTCTAAAGCCTAGTTCCTTAGTACAGTGCCACCCGAGAATCAACAAGAACTGGAGTTTGTGCTGGACTGGGGGCTCCAGTCACTAAAGTATCACATAACTAAATATTCAGGGAGGTACAGTGACGTAGTGACCTGGGATTCAGCTAGTATAGGCTCTAGTCCCAGAGTCTGCTTTTAACTATTGACTTTGGACAAGTCACTTCATTTTTCTGGGACCAGAGTCTCTTCAGTGGTCAAAGGATGACTTGAATTAGAATCAAAGCTCCTTTTGATTTATAAAGTCAGAATATTAGCGCTTAATTAAAATTACTAAAGTGCAATTTCCCAAGCCATTAATTCATGTGGTTTCTTATTTTTGCATCTCTTTTTAGAAGTACAGGGTTGGAGCCTAAAAACATAAGCCCATTTCTGTTAAATAGACATTTGAAACACATGTGTAAAGACTCTCTTTTAAAGAAACAGCTCTACTCAGATACTTTATGCTTGTTAGTATCCTGTCCAGGAGCCCTTGCTCCAAAAATAAATACATGGTCACCTAAAAAGCACAAAATACAGTATTGGACACAGAGTAGGCACCCAAATACTGCTATGTTACAGCTCTCAGTGGAGTCTCAGTTTGTGTGACTTAACCCATCCGAGTCTGTTTTCTCATCTGTATATGGGAACAATATCTTTCTCAAAGATCCACAAATAGTCCATATTAAAATGTTTTTGTAAGTTGTTTAAAACAATTGCAAAATATTACTATTACCTAAGGAATGTAGCTTACTATATATACCATGATCTTTCTAAAAAGTGTGCCTTTTCAAGAGATACATTAAAATCTTTCTTAGTTTATTATGGACACAGCACCTACCCCAATGCCTGGCTCAACAAATATGCTCAATAAATGTATGTTGCAAGTATAATCCACAGAAAGATCTAAAGCTCCATGAACTCTGATTCCATATTTGGTTTTACCTCCACATTCCCAAAGCCTAGCACAACATCTGACACACAGAAGAAACTCAATAATTACCAGATGAATAAAATTACCAGCACTGCTTAAGAGGTAGAGGTGGGCAGGGGAGGTATTAAAGATGATTTCTGGTAAAGGTTGCCTGGCATGGCAAAGTGGAAATTACTTGGAAAACTCCCCCACATTCTAACAAATAGCTTGGGAGAGTAAAAAGAACAGAGACTCTGAGTTTAAATTCAGTTTCCAAATTCTGCAGTCTTGGTAAATTCATCTACTAGTCTCTCCGAGACTCAGTTTCCTCACCTTAAAATGAGCATAGTGCCTCCCTCATCGGTTCCGCACTAGAACTGAAGCTCTCTCAGGGCAGGGGCTTCTCTTTGGACCCACTGTTTGTACGCCACACAGCACTGGATTGCATGGACTAGTGCAGGGCATGGCATAGGTTATCAAACATGTGCTGACTAAATTTGTGTGAAATTGACTGAGGCAATATAGCTAAAGAAACAAAGCGCCTGCATGTAGTAAACACTTAGCAAGTGTGAGCCTCTATCAACAGCACCATCATCATCATCACTACTACTACCAGCACATCAGCATCATTGCGTTACTGGTGGTTGTAGAGAAGCCACTGTTGGGGAAGGACCCAGATTTAAATCTCAGATTCTCCATTCAGTGGCTATGTGACTTAGAACAAACTGCTTAACCTACTCAGGTTCCTTTGGTTCCACAAAAATCTTAGTGTCATGAGAATGAGAGGCTACCAGGAACCCACCGAACACTGAGCTTGGTGCTCAGGTGGCACCCGATACATGCCAGCCATTAAGGCAAACAAATCGCCTGATCAGCTGACTTCTCACTGGAAACATTTCAGGCCGGACGGCTGGGCTAGAAATATTCCAAGTGTTGAAAAGCAGGGACCTACAACCAAGATTCCTCTACCCAGCAAAGCTTTCATTTAGAATCAAAGAGCAGATAAAGAGCTTCCCAGATGAGAAAATGCTAAAGGAGCTCATCACCACGATACCACTATTATATTAAATGTTAAAAGATGTTAAGAATTAGAAAAAAAAAGATAAAGATGACCAACAAAATGATAATAAATACATACCTATCAATGATTGAATCTAAAAAACAAAATAAATGAACAAGCAGAACAGACATAGACTCACACAGAGAATGTTTTGACAGCTGACAGATGGGAGGGGTGTTGGGAGGGATGGATAAAGAGGGTGACGAAATAAAAAAATACAAATTGACAGTTACAGAACAGACATAGGGATCTACAGTTCAGCATAGGAAATATAGTTAATAGTATTCTAATAATTATGTATAGTGTCAGAGAGGTATGAGATGTCAGGATGATAATTACCTAGAAAGTTCTAAGTCTAACCTCTGGCTGTATAACAGAAACTAATATTATGTTGCATGTCAATTTTAACTGAAAAATAAAAATGATTTAAAAACTATTTAAAAATCGCCACATCTCTTCTATCTAGATAACTATCTGTAATTTCCCGCATTACTGTATCTGAATATATTACATGACCACAAACAAGGTAGGAAGGAAAGAATTTGAAAGAGACTGAAACCGCTAAATGAGAAAACTGGGAATTAAACCGGGGCTTCACACTTCCCACCGAAGGGCTGCAGTTTCCGCGACTGTCAACCAGTCCAGCCAATGCTCCACGGGACAATCAGGTCCGCAGGGAACAAAAAGGAGGCAGAGCCGACGCTTAGACCCACCCCCTAACGGTTTCTTGGCCGCTGGCCTTGGCGGCCGCCAGACTCTAGTTTCCGGCCGTCGCAGGACCACAGTTCCCAGCGTGCCTTTGGAGGGAAGTCTTTCCCCCTGGCTGACTACTAATCCCGACATGCCATTCGGCACTCCAGTAAATTTGCTGGAATAGCAGGATGACCCCGCTGCGCGCAGGGAATTGTAGTCTTTTTGGCTGTTGCCTCCTGGAGTGGAGGGGAAGAGCCCGGTCGTTCTTGTCAGCTGAGGAGAATGATTCATAGAGGAGGGTCGGGAAAGAGCAGTTCTGTCTGTGAAAGCCCACTTAAAAAGCTGCACTCTATTTCGTGGAAGGGAGAGGCAGAAAAGCGAGCAGGCCCTCGGGCCTGACCCCGCCTTAGGCCGCTCGGCAGGCCACCACCGAGTCCTCGGCCTGGTCCGGGGCGGCCTCGAGCCTCTGGTTGCTGGGGGAATGGTGACGTCGCGGGGTGAAAGTTGAGGGGCGGTGACGTCGGGCCTGGCCGGGCGGAGGCTGGCGGGTTGGAGGCAGGAGGGAGGGAAGGAGGGAAGGAAGGAAGCTGGGAAGGAGCGAGCGAGCGGGGGCGCGAGGCGTTTACCTGGAAGCAGCGGCTCGGGCGCGCAGAGCGGCCGCGGCTCCCCCGCACCTGCGGCGATGGACGAAGAGCGCGCCCTCTACATCGTCCGGGCCGGCGAGGCGGGGGCTATCGAGCGGGTTCTGAGGGATTACAGCGATAAGGTAAAGAGCCTTGGCCCCGAGCTTGCGGTGTAGCGCCCCCGGGCCGCCCTCTGGGCTTGCACCGCGCATCCCTCCCCACCCCCCTCATTCCGGGGATGCGCATTGCTCTCCCCCAGAAGCGACGTTTCCGGCTTGGGCATGCGTGTTTGCGCCCCCAGCCCCTGCCGTCCGTGCACCCTGCAGCCCCTGCCCCCACCCCGGCGCCCACTCCTCTGATTCCGGCCCAGCCGCCCGTCCTGCGGTCCTGCTCCCGAGCGCTCAAGTCACACCCCCGGAATCCGTGGATGTGCGTGTGTGCCCCGTGCCCCACTCTAGGCTGCGCGAATGCACACGAGGCTTCCTCACCTGTGTAGCATAAAAATACGTTTCTGTGCATAAACACGGCCCTTGACACGCTATCAGCCACCCTGGTAGTTCTTTATGTAGCTGGAGCAGCACCGTACAGTTTCCAAGGCGTGTTGTCCCCTGTATGGTCTAACTTGATTCTCAGAATGTTCATGTGGTAGATGGTATTATCCTCCCCGTTTTATAGATGAGAAAACCGAGGCTGAAAGAACTGAAATCATGCCAAGGTCATGGACATACTGTGTTGTCAGTGAGATGGAGAATCTAACTCCTAATAGTATTTATTATTTGTATTACATTAACAGCTTTCACATCCGTTGTCTCATTTAATCTTGACAGCAGTCCTGTAAGGTTTTATCTGCGTTTTGCAATTGAGATTCTCTGATTGGTTAAGTAACTTGCCCAAGGTCATCCTTGTGAGCTGGGGTTCCAACCTAGGTCTTCAAACCATTCATTGTTCTTTCCAGTGCACAGCTCTGCGGTAAAAAGGTATTTTGTTATAAATCCCAACCACTTCTCTAAAACTCTCCTAAAACCGTTAGCTTTCCATTACGTTACTTGTCCTTCTAGGAATTTTACGTGCTCACTTCAAAAGAGAGCATACCACACCTTTATTCTTCCATTTAGAAGACTACTTTGTAGGAATGACCGACTACTCCCTCTGTGAAAACACATCCAACACCAAGTCACACCCTAGATATAACATCGTTCTTCCTTTCCTTTGCTTCCATTCATAATTTGCTCTCTGTGTTTGCTCTGTGCCCACCACTGCACTCACATGCACTTTGTATTATTGAACTGCCAGAATTCCATTTCTGCCCTGGGTGGAGAAGATCCAAAAATAAGACATCTTCATTCCCCTGCAGTCTTCCCAACAACCCTGTGAGGGAAGTGGTGGTATTCCCCATTTCACAGATGAAATTTAGAATCATGTTGCCCCAAGTCTGCACAGCCATTGAGAGATGAAGCTGAGATTAGAATCTAGTTTGTGTGACCGCTCTTTCTACAGGACTACACTGCTTTCTTTGGGAGGATGCATAGATTCAATTCTGTTTATATCTTGGCTTATTCACTTTTTGATACGATTTACTGTTGCCTCATTACCTAATTGAGGAGGAATTCATTTAATGCATAGGTGTGTACATGTTGTGGAGAGTCCATTAGTTTTACTTGATTTATAACTACTTCCCAAAAAAGATTTAAGGTAGCTGTAAACTGATTTTCAAAAGAAAGGAATACAACAGAAACCTTGCTGTTGTGTTGAATCAATTAGTATTTATTTAGCATTTACTATGTGGCAGATACCTAGCGATAAAGAGCAATTTTTTTTTCCATAGGGAATGGAGAAGGAAAACCCTCGAACTGAATCTTATCACCTCCTTTAATATTTTCCTCTCCTTCATGGCTAAACTAATTAGAACTCCAGATTTGCTTCCTCCAATTTATCTCTTCCTAATCTTGACCTTCCTCCAGGTTGGTTACCTCTCCTGGCCAAGTGCTGTCAGCTTAAGTTCTGGACATCTCCAGCACCCTTTTCACACCGGGAATGAAATGTCTTTAAAGTTGCAATGCTCGATGTATATTCTTTTTTTTCTTCAACGTATATTCTTTAAGGTGATATATCTGATGTGTTTTGGAGGATTGAACTTTTTGGACCAAACCTGAAAATGCTGTGACTTGATCCCAACTGAGTCAGCTTCTTCAGAAAGAGTTCTCATGTTTAATGCTGAGTGTAGTAAAGCCAGAGTACAGAGAAAATAGCTGAGTTTCATGTCTGCAGTGGGGCTTTGCCCCTCAAGGTGAGATTGGAGGCAGATTAACAGGAAGAGGAAATATGATCACTGTGGTACGGCAGTAAGAATGGGGAGATAGAATTAAATTGTCCAGCCCTATAGGATATGAAGTTGGAAACCCTGGAAAAGTAGCTGGATACTGTGTGCTTCGTTTCTGGAAAAATTGATTTGAAATGTTTAGAATAAGATGTTGTTATGGGGCCATGAAGAGTCTAACCAAGAAGGAAAATGAATGATGTAGAGAGAGACTGATTAACTCATTGTTTGGGGGAAGACGATCTTCATGCTACCTTATATCTCTAGTAAAGCCAGTCCTCTAAAGGAGGTAGTCACGGATAGTGGAAAGAAGGTGGAATTTAGAGTCAGATGAACCTTGTTTCAGATCTGCCATTATTAGCTTCATGACTATGGATAAGTTATTTTAAACCTGAGTGTCAATTTCCTTATCTGTAAAATAGGAATAATATCATGTAAGTTATTCTGAGGATTAAATTAAATGAAGTATAATGCCAAACACTGAGCCCAGTGTGCCTGGAAGCATTCACTCAGTGAGTTACATTTCTAATGATCAAGGTACCAAAGAGATCCTGTGGTCCAAGCACAGGCTCTTGAGCCAGACTGCCTGGGCTCTTGGTTCTCAATTTACCATCCATGCGGCCTAGGGCAAGTTACTTAACTTTCCTGTGCATCAGTTTATTCATCTGCCAAACCAGGGATAATGACAGTATTTACATCTTGGGTTTGCTGTCAGGATTAAATGAGTTAATGTGTAAAGCACTCAGGTTAGTGCCTTGTTCTCAGAAAGAACCCGTAACTTAGTTTTTCAACAAAAAAGAAAAGGCAGGAATTATATACATGCCACTGAGTCGACAGAGTTGACATAAAATAAATTGGGAGATATACTTCATTCTTTCTCTTTTTCCTTGACCTTTACACTTTCTGATGGGTAGCAAAATACCTTGTGAATGTTCAGAGCAACAGGTAACAATGTCTAATTTCTGCTGTGTTACAGAGACTTTAATTCCCAAGCTTTCTTGCTTCATTCACTGGCCCTGGTTATCCTGGGGAAAGGGAAGATCTATTTATCCCAGAAAAAAACGAAACGTCTGTTTCTCAAGGACGTAATGCAGGTTGACTCAGTATGGGAAAGTATTTTTAAAAAATAGCAAACGTGGTTGTTCTTTTTCTCACTTTACCTGTTAACATATGTTGAGTGCCTGCTATGCCCTATATATTTTTCTAAGCACTTTCACATGTTATTACATACACAGTCATATCTCAGTACTCATCGGCTTCCGAACTCATCGAACCCTATACTTGTCGAATTTTGATAAGAAAAAAAATGTTTTAGCACTTGGCACTTGCTTGGGACTTAACGCATTTGCTAGCCCTTGTATGAGTTACAGCGGTGCCCAGCAAGAGAAAATGCTTTAATGTTTGGTGCTCATCGGTTTCAGCACTTGTCACGAGTTCAGAATGAATTAGCAATGAGTACCGAGGTAACACTGTAATCCTCTTATATTAAAACTTATGAGGGAGACCTATCTTAGTGGCTGAGTTGTTTGGAGTGTCACCCACACCAAAAGATTGTGGGTTCGATTCCCGGTCAGGGCACACAACTTAGGTTGTGGGTTTGATCCCCATTGGGGAGCATGCAGGAGGCAACCAATCAATGTTTCTCATATTAATGTTTCCCTCTATTCTCTCTTTGCCCCTCCCCCCACCCCTGGCCTCCTGTGTCTTTAAAATCCATAAACGCATATCCTTGCTTTTTATTGAAAAAGAAAAAAAAACTTATGAGGGAAATACAAGTATTCCCTTTGGTGGGAGTAGGAAATTGAAGTTTAGAAAGACAGAGCGACTCTCTCTGGGCTCAAGAGCACATGGCTAGTGGCAGGCCTAGTCCCCAGATTTTATATCCAGGGCTCTTACCCCGCCTATTCTGTGTTTTTGAACACAGGAGAGAAAGGTTTTTCAGAGCCAGTATACTGCTTCCTTTGCCTACTGTTGAACCCTAACTCCTTCACTCCAGTGACAGAATGAGCTGTTATGGGAAGTGCATATTGTGCTAGTCTAGGCTGTCCAACTCCTTTTTCTCTTTTAGGGTCTGTCCGGATGAACTTTTAGTAGAGAGATTGGTTGCTATCATTATGATTATCAACCATAGTGGTTGATAATGGGCTTAGTGGTGATCCTGTATCCCAAGATACGCAGTAGTATCATAGGATATTTAGATCAGAAGGAAGCTCAAAGATAATTGGGTCCAACCCCTTCAGTTAATAGGTAAAGAAACTGAGGCCTAGAGTCATCAACTATGATGACAACTAGAGAGATGGCCTGGTGGCTGTAGAAGCCACCTGGACATATGTTATCCTATAGCGAGCTCCAGCAGGATTCTACATTAGAAGTATGGCAGGTTTATGGACAAATGAAAGGTAAAAGTTTTTTAAAATACAGGTAGGTAGGTCTCCAAGAGTAGTCCTCATAAGAGAGGAAAACCACACTAATAGCACTGAGGTCTTAATTTATCTGCTAGAAGCACCTGATTGATAGGGACCTAATATTAGGATAGTTCTAGAAATACAGTCTCCACGTTTGAATATGGCATGTAAATAAATATACCACATAAGGGGACTTTTTGCTTTCCACTTTGAGGTTGAGTTCTGACTTTATTCCACAGAACTTTGAAGAAGAGCTTGTTTAATGGACTGTTCCTTTGTTATACCTTGTTCTTATTTCCAGATTGGGTTGTATAATCTCAGTTACTGGAATTTACTTGTAGAAGTAATCTTTGTTCATGAAACATAGCAAGACACACCCCTACCCCACCCCCACCCCAGTCAGGTTAATGCCCTTGTATCGGTACTGTTTGAGTGTTTCTTTGGAAATCTATGAAATAACTGCTACTTTCCTTACCATGAAAAGTTCAGTTTTTGCCAACATCATAGGCCATGCAATACTAACGCTAGTGGTCACTTATTGAACACCTGCTATGGGCAACGAGCTATACATAAAGAAGGAAATTCTGGTGGGTAGAAAATTTGGGTAGCTGGACCATGGCCACACTTTTAATAAGCAGCGGGACTGGACTCTAACCCTGTGTTCTGTCACTCCTGAGCCTGGGCTTTTGGAAGCTTACAGTGGAGTCTTCAAAATGAGTTTGGTGTGTCACCGAGCCGTTCCTACCTTACTAGCTCTCTTAATTGAACAGTGGTTTTACCCTTTAGTTTATATTTGACTTGTTGCTCCTGTTTGTCTGGAAATTAAGCATATAAAGAAGGTGAGGCAGTTGACTGTTGGCTAGCAGTTCTAGAAATGTATTAATTAGTTCCTTCTTCCCCTTCTTTTCAGCTATAGAAAGGGGAGCGAGTAAAGGTTAGAGATACTGAATAGGTTGGGGATGATCTAAGTTGGATAAAAGAAGCCAGCCTTAAATATCTTTGGATCCAAGCAATCTTAGAGGGCTTGAGTTTCCTGAATAAATTGGCACATTCAAAATTCAATCTTATTGTCTCACATACCAGTATATTTTCTAATTAAATTAAGCCCTCATGCTTTTTAGATGGGGCTTTTGAAAGCTTTATCTTTCTCTCTTTCTTTCTTTTCCTTCCTTCCTTCCTTCCTTCCTTCCTTCCTTCCTTCCTTCCTTCCTTCCTTCCTTCCTTCCCTCCCTCCCTCCCTCCCTCCCTCCTTCCTTCCTTCCCTCTTTCCTTCCTTCCTTCCCTCTTTCCTTCCTTCCTTCTTTGTGGTTTTATGACAGGATCAGCTTTGCATTTAAAAACCAACAGAAAAATTCAACCTTGGTACTATTCTAAATTATCACTTTAAAAGATTAATTCTACATAGAAACTGTTTAAAATATATAACTTAATGAAGGTCTTCCCAAAACATTGTTTTCTATTCCCTTACTATAAATCCTGAAAAATATTTAGGAGAATCATTATAGTGGCAAATAGGTGCATTCATTTCAGATAATTAGTGGAATTTACATATAATGGCAAGTAATAAGCTTCCTTGGTTTCTAAGTACAATTGTTTATTTCATTTGTGTTGCACCTTTACTGAGCTTCAGTTGACAAGCATGGCCTCATGTCTGGTGCTGCTTTATCTTTTATCTAATGTTGGTTTTTATTAAATCTCAGGTCTATAAATTCCTAAGTTGTAGCCTTCAGATTTACAACTTGTCCTTCTTTCTTCCTTCCCTTGTTCATTCAGTCATTCATCTTTTATTTTTAAATTTCCCTTTTAATTATAAAAATAATATACCAACAGTGAGTTTTGTCCAAAAAAATCACTAGAAATTTCACCACCCCCTGTACATAGCTGCTCTTTTTCCACTCGATGCCACTGTATGTAATTTTCCATGTTGTTACAGAGCTTTTTAGCTACCTTTTTAATTGCAATATAATAGTCTCTCAGGTGGCTACACAGCAATTCATTTCGTCGGTCTCATATTGTTGGATAGTCAAGATCCTCTTTTTTTCTTATATTAGATGGCATTGTAGTGACTATGCTAATATATATAATTTTTCTCTCTTTCTGGATGATTTCATTAGTGTAAATTCCTAAGAGTAGAAGTTCTGGGTGAAAGGGTATGAATATTTTTATGGTTTCTAATATGTGTTGCCACATCACTTTCCCTTTTAAAGTTTGTGTCAGTTTATACTGCTGCCAGCAGTACCCTGCTTGGATTATTGATGCTCAGTTCTCAGAGAGCTTTATGTCTTTAGTCTGGCTCTCCTTTTTATCTGACCCGTAAGCTACTGACCAAAATATTCCAGACTGCTCAACTATTTATACTTTCCTCGGAGTCTTCCTGTGCGCCTGTTACCTGTCTTGCAGTTCAAGCCCCTTACCACCTGACATAATTCATTTTGATTGTTTTGCATACCATAAGTGAAGCATACCCTCTTAGGTTTCCTCAAATGGCCCTTCTCTCTTTCCTCTAAGTCTTATCTCTTACCATTTCTTACACAGAACTGTTGCATGGGCAACAGAATTGTTGCACTGTCAACACTTCTTCTCCATCTCACTCAATTTCAAAAATTGCTTCTTCTACAAAGCTGTCAGTGCACAACCACCTGTAATGATAATATCTTTAGTGCTCAGTGTGCTTAACTCTTGGTGGGTTGCCTGGTAAACGTTTGTTAGTGTGGCCAGTGTGGGAAATGCAAAGGAAAGTCAGAGAGATGTTCAGTGGAGATTTTTTTTAAAGGAAAGCTTAGGATTCGTAAGAACACTTGGTTCTTCTGAATAAAACTGGAGCAGAGAAAGAAGAGTTTTGTGCTGTAGTTTTGGGGTATCATCACTCTTTCTGTGACAGTAGACAAGTCAGCTTACTCCATCATCTGTTGTAGCTACAGAGTGGAAAATACAGTGTTGTTGCCAATCATTTTAGGAGTCATGACACTCTCTTCTAGTTTTTTTCCCCTCGATATTATTGGTATCACCACTATTATAACCCTAATATTTACTGTTTATTATGTGCTGGGCACCTAGATGGTATGTTATGTGCCATAGCTGTTTTAACCCTTACAGCAGCTCTGTGAACTAGGTATCCCCTCTTTTCACATGAGGAATCCAGTTACGGAGAGTCTAGTAATTGCTCAACTAACTATTAAGTGATGGAGCCATGAATTTAAACCCTCACTTTTACAGAATATTTATCTGAGTATTCTCTTCCCTATCTATAATTTTCTGATGATTTCTTATTGCATATGAAAAAGAAAGTGCAACCCCCCAGCATCATTGGAAGGCCTTTCCAAATCTTTGTCCAGTCAGCATTTTCATCCTCATCTTTCTTCACTCCCCCACCCCCTAACATGTGTCCTGTGTTTTACTCTGACGGAGCTGCTCATTTCACAGATATACCACACTGTTTCACACATCTGAGCCTTTGTTTCTGTTCCTACAGTGCTTTCCATTTGCCTCCTGGAAACTTCTATTCATACCTCAAGGACCAGTTCAAATTCTCCACACTGCTTGCAAAGCATTCCAGATTTCCCTGGGCAGAGTTAGAGGCTTGGTACTTTGCGCTCCTTGGTATATATATTTCTGCGGTAGTCTTTTCAGACTGCTTAGAATTATTTGCTTACATGCCTATCTCTCTGACTTGAATAAGAAGAGTGAAATATGATGTAAGAAGACAGCACTTTTAGAGAAAGTATATATTATTAAACAGCCAGAATAAAAAATCTGCGTATTTAAAATGACATTGTTTCCCTTTTTTCCCCCTTCAGCATAGGGCTACTTTCAAATTTGAACCAACAGATGAAGATAAAAGAAAGGTAAGCCTCAGTGTTACTCTGTGTGTGTATGTGTGTTTCATTCATGGACTTTCTAAATAGTGGACTTGTTTTCATCAGATGGTTATTTAGTTTTCAGTTTCCCTCCAGTTTGTTTTTAGGAACTCTGAGAAGAAAGCAAGTGCCAGGTTTCATACACACAATTCAATCCTGCTCCACCTCACAGGACCATTACACTTGGTTCAATCAGAACAGTGGGAAGGGTTCACTTAATGGCAGGACTTTAGGCTGCCCAAAATGTTTTGTTAATCTTGTAAATTTTGTTTTTTTGTTCAGTTTTGGGAAAACAGGTATTCATGCTGCTGACCCTTAGCCACATATTGTTCCCTGTGCCAACAGTTGTGTATGTTGTCAGCAGTTGTCTAGGCCACTTCATGGGCATAGAGGAAAATGGAGTCAAGAAGAGACCCACCAATAGAGGAGTTATAAGAGAAGGTGCATCAGAGATATGACCACGTGAAATGTGTTTCACTGTTGGGTTGCCTGAGTTGCTTTACTTAGTTGATTAAAGCATGATGCTTAAGGAGATGCTCACCAGTTTTATCTGTGTTTTGCTGGGCTGCATACTTCTATCCCTGGCCTCATAAATGCCAAGACCAGGTAAAAGAGCATGACTGAATCATTGTAAACCTATCACTGCTGCTGCAAAAATTGCTTAAACCTAGTGCGTTCCTGGCAGTGGTTTGATAATACCTTGAAATCATCTTGTTCACCTCTAGCCCCAACATCTAATGTCTTGTCCTGCTCATTTTATCTCTTATGGTTTCTTTAGCCCATTCTTTCCTTAACCCCTGACCTAATTCAAGTTTTCATCTGGATTACTGTACCAGTTTCCTAACTGTTCTTTCTTTTTCTAGTTTTTTCCCTACAAATCATCGTCCATAAATCTAGAACAACAGTCTGGCCATGTCACTCCCAGTCTTTAAAACCCTTGAGTGATTTTTGGCCTATAAAATAAAGTTCAAGCTCCTAAACATAACATACTAGATACTTAGTGACCTGATCTCTGCCTGCTTTTGCAGCTTACTTCTCTCCCTTGTATTTTATGCTGTAGCAATATAAAATGTTTCCAGTTAAATGCACATATACATCCCTTCTGTTTCTTATTTTCTCCCTTTGTATATGTTGTTTTGTACCCAGAATGCCATTTCCTTCATGTATCCCTCTACTCCTTTTAACCTGGTTAATCCTACAGAGCTTCAGGAGCACATCCTTCAGAAAGCCTCCTCTGGCATTCTTGTTAGGATGAAATGTTCCTTTTCAGCATTCCTATAAAATTCTGCGTAAATCTCTAACACTATGCTTATATATTATGCTTTTAATTATTTATCTGTCTCTTATTACTAGACCCAGCTAACTTACTGATGACAGATACTACTATTTATCTTTATGTCCTCCACACCTATCGTGCCCAGAACATAATAGGCACTTAAAAAGTATTATTGGCCTTGGCTGGGTGGCTCAGTTGGTTTACAGGAGCAGTGTCCTGTAAACCAAAAGGTCGTGTGTTTGATTCCAAGTCAGGGTACATGCCTAGATTGTGCGCTTGGTCCTGGTTGGGGCACATATGAGGGAAAACCAGTTGATGTTTCTCCCTCACATAGATGTTTCTTTCCCTCTCTCCCTCCTTTCCCCTCACTCTAAAATCAATAAGCATGTCCTTGGATGAGGATTTTTAAAAGGTATATTGAATGAATGACATGGAGAATAAATTTTGAAAGTTAAAAGTTTAATTCTAATTTGTTTTGGATTCAAACAGTGTAAAAAAACTAGAATGCCTTTTAGAACAGGGGTGCTCGACCAGGAATGTACTGCCTGGGGAACGTTTTTAAAGATAAGTCTGCTCAGGCCCGACCCTTTATCTACTGAGTCAGAATTTGGGGGTGAGATCCAGAGTGTATATTTTTATAGAGGGTCTTTAGGAAATAAGTACTCACTCATTTGATGGGAGTGCAAGATGGCACAATTCCTGTGGAAAAGAAACTGGCAGTATCTACCAAAATTACAGATGCATTTTACCATTTGACCAAGCACTGCTACTTTTAGAGATCTGTTTTGTGGATAGGTTGAACTCAAGTAAAATGTTATTCACTGAAGCAAAAGATTGGAAACAACCAAGTGTCCAGCAATTAGGGAGTATATGAAGAAGCTAGTGTATGGCTACATAATGAAATATTATGATATGGTAAAGAGAGGGAAAGAGACAAACCATTATATGCTAATGGGGGAGAGGTAAGTGAAAGTAAAAGAAGCATGTTGTTACAAGAAATATTTGTTAACATACTCATAATAGGTATTCAGGCTAGGAAAGCAACTGCTGTTTATTTAGTTGGGAGAATCCATGCTACATCTGTATGGGAATCGGGTGCTAAAATTTCATATACGTTTCATTAAGGGAGAAAAAAGTTCCCACAGTTATTAATTACGTATGTTTATTTCTTATAGGATAATAGGAAAATCTAAAGTTTTCAAAGTATTGTGTTTTACTGGCTTTTAGATCTTTGAAGATGGTAATTACTGTACTGGTGTTATTTTCAGTTCTAGTGTGCAGATTTCTGCTTCCTGGGAGTTCTGATATAAACAAATGTCAGTAGGGACCTAGCTAGGTAATCTTCATTAATGGAAAAACATTGACAAACAAAACCATTTCAGTCTCCAAGGATTAAAACTATTAGTGACTCTTTTGTGCCTAAGGCCCTAAAAAGAGTTTGAAATGAAAATTGTTGGACTGCTCTAAAGGATCTACATACATCCTAAGAGTTTAGGTTCTTTTTTTTTTTTTTTAAGATTTTATTTATTTATCTTTAGAGGGGAAGGGAAGGAGAGAAATATCAATGTATGGTTGCCTCTCGTGAGTCCCCTGCTGGGAACTGGCCTGCAACCCAGGCATGTGCCCTGACTGGGAATTGAGCCGCGATCGCGTGCTTTGCAGGCTTGTGCTCAATCCACTGAGCTACACCAGCCAGGGCAGAGTTTAGTTAGGTTCTTGATGTAGAGAGACATAGAGTAGTACATGTCTTCACATTAAACCCAGTCTGAAAATAAGAGGAACTCAAATTACCATCCAATTTGTTTTGCTCCCCTAGTTCTCTTTTTCTTTCCTAAACATGTCTTCTGGAGCCTTCATACAGTAGCTGCAGTTCAGCACCCCTTTTGGTAAATTATGGGTGCTATCTCTGAAAAACACAGCACTTTTCTTATGTAAAACCTTTGTACAACTTAGAAGTAAATGTAAGGGAACAGAGCCTTTCAAAAAACAAAAATTGTACTGAGATTTTTAGGAAATAGTTATGAATTAATGATCCTTAGACCTAATTCCTAACACTTATATAGAGTTTTGCATTTTTACAAAGATTTGCTTTGTAATAGTTATTCACTAATGCTTTAAGTATGACAAGAATGTCACTATCCCTATTTTACTGATAAGAAGACCTAGGATTACATTAATGACAACTTGCCAACATTCACTTGGCAACTAGTGAGTGGTGGAGCCTCAGATAGAGAACAGATTTTCTACCTGTTGTGTGTAGCACCTTCACTACTCCGTGCTCCCACTCATTACCACTTAAGGTGTATTTCATACGGTTTGAAGTTATGACTCAATACCTTGTTTAATCTCTTATTTCTTATACCTTGAGACACCGTTTAGGCAACTAGACTTAAATTGAAAGATAGCAAAGAAAATTACCAACTAGGAGTGCTTAAATTTTTTCATATAAAATAAAGTCAGATATAACTGCTAAAGTTTGTGCATATATGCAAATAGTTCCAGGTGCATGTGGATCATTATAGATTTGGGTATAAGCACCTGTGCTTATTGAAGCACTTCCTTTACATTTTTTTCCCTAAATTGGCAGGCTGTGACTATCTGCCAGCACATAAACAAATGCCTCGTGCAAATACGTAGGATGGGAGTAGGTATGAAGAATAATCTGAAAATTTACATCTTCAAGAAGTGAAAGCTCTTACTGGTTTCTAAAACACAGCTGATCCCAGACCAGTAGAGTACTGATAATTGCAATAAACATTGAAAAACATGTCATAAAATGAGCAAAAGAATTGCAGCTCTTTCACCTATGTAAGATGAGAGTACAACTGGATAAAATGTGGAAAACTTCAGTTGTTATCTGGGACAAATGGCCAAATTTCAAGCATTTATTTCATTACCTTCAAACTCACATAGGTGCGCCCGTATTTCTGTGAAGGCAGACAGTTAACTGTTGAGAATCCTTTGAGGACAAGAATACTCTTGCTTCTCGTTGTATTTTCCTCCTCCAGTACTACATGTGGCACAAAATTGACACCTGTAATATAGACGCCTATTAAACAAATGAAGGGAACTTGGAAATTGAGCAGAGGCCAGAATTCCAATGATTTGTACATATTGTTTGGTGTTGAGTCTGATATTCTCTTAACAATACAGCAGAATCTCAAGCACACCTCATAATGTTGTTTACTGAAAATGCAGGATATAAAAATATGCCTGCAGTATGATCACAGCCATGTTAAACTAATAAAAAGTATACAAAGAAAAATGACTGCGAGAAAATTCACTAAGTGGTGACTATCTGAATATTATTATTACTGCATGTGATATTTCTTTCCCTTTTGTGTAATTTAAACTTTTACATTATAATAGATTATAATGGTATAAAATATAACATGTTATATATTATATTTTTTATAATAGTGTGGAAGCATAAGCAAAGACCAGTACTTTTTAAAAGAATCATTTTTTTGTCTAAAATTGAGCTGCCTTGATTATCTTATGCATTCTTTTGAGTGGAGCATAAAAATATTGCTACGTTTAGAGATAGTATTATCTACCCAGCCAGTTTATGAAGTGAAATAAATTTATATGAACACAGAGTTCCATTCTAACGTTTGAAAGATTGTTGTTGTTTTTTTTTTACCTTTTCTTACCCCATAGTTGGCATTATCAGTGGAGATCTCTGTAGTCCACAAATCTTTTATCAGTAATT